CAAATAACATTTTATTGGAGTCCACTATATGCCAGGTGGATACAATAATAGGTAATACAGAAGGTCTATTGTCATGGATCTTACATAACACAAATCAGCTACCATTTACTCATTTTTTCAATGTATATTTTTTTAAATCAATCTTTATTGTTCATATTATTACAAAGGTTCCTCATTTCTTCCCCCCTTCCACCAGGTTCCCACCCCACCCTCTGCCCTTTTCCCACCCCCCATTGTCCTCATCCATAGGTGCACAGTTTATGTTCAGTCTCTTCCCGCACCCCCCTCTCCCCTTTTCCCCAAGAATTGTCAGTCCACTCCCCTCCAGTATCTCTGATTCTATTATAATCAACAGTTAATATTGTTCATCAGGTTTTTTAATTTCCTTGTGTTTTTTTTTTAATTAATAAACTTTTATATTTTTAAGAATAAATTTTAAAATCTAATTTTAAACCTTGTTTTTTTCTGCCCTGGGAACTGAGAAGCAAACTTGTTTACATGTAAATGTGCCCTTAGGCTATCAAAAGGTGTAGCCATTCAAATGTAAATGGACATATTGTTTAAAGATAGCTGCTGGCTGGAATTGGATTACCTGTTCTGGGTGGGAAGGGTTTGTCCTTCCCTTTTTCCATTGAAAATAAGGTGTTAGCCTTAAAACCTCTTTTTGGCAAGAGACCTCAAACTTCCAGAACTTTAAATTTTTCAAGTAGTAAATCAATTACTTAGTATTTTCTCAAATCAATAATACCTCCATATGCCCAAGGATACACTTCACACAAAAGACACTTCCAAATAGATCAACCAACCTCATCCAGGCCCCACACAAGGCACTCACAGATCAACACCCCAGCGCTATAATAACTCAACACATCCAGATCTAAGTCATCATCACTTGATTCAGCAGACCCTCAAGTTCCCCCAAAAGTTTCCAGCCATGTCTGAGAAGCAGCCCTGGGGCATGGGCAGGTGAGGAGCGAGCTGTTCTGGGCCCAGCTGCTTCGGGCCTGGCCTCTGTTGCTCTGGTCTGCTCCACAACCAGCTGCTCCAGGTCTGGCCGCTGCTGTTCTGGGCCCGGATGCTGCTGCTCTGAGCCTGGCTGCTCCCAACCTGGCTGTTCCATGCCCAGCTGCTCCGGACCTGGCTGCTTCGGGCCTGGCTGCTCAGGGCCTGGCCGCTGGCTGCTCTGAGTGCGCCTGTTCTGGGCCCAGCTATTGCCTCTCTGGGCCCGGCTGCTCCGGGCCCAGCCACTCCGGGCCTGGCTGCTCCTGGCCTGGCTGCTCCGGGCTTGGCTGCTGCTGCTCTGGGCCTGGCCGCTCCTGACCTGGCTGCTCCGGGCTTGACTGCTGCTGCTCTGGGCCTGGCTGCTCCTGACCAGGCTGCTCTGAGCCCAGCCGCTCCCAGCCTGGTTGCTGCTGCTCCAGACCTGGCTGCTGCTGCTCCGGGCCTGGCTGCTCCCAACCCGGCTGCTCCAGGCCTGGCCGCTCCCGACCTGGCTGCTCTGGGCTTGGCTGCTGCTGCTCTGGGCCTGGCTGCTCCTAACCCGGCTGCTCTGGGCCCAGCTGCTCTGGGTCTGGCTGCTCTGGACCTGGCTGCTCTGGACCTGGCCACCCTGGGCTTGGCCGCCTCCGCCCCAGGCCTGGCTGCCACTGCCCCAGGCCTGGCTGCTCCAGGCCTGGCTGCTGCTGCTCTGGTTCTAGCTGCTGCTTCTCCAGGGCCTGGCTGCCGCTGCTCCAACATTCTGTCTTTTTTTTTTTTTTTTTTTAACGCATTTATGTTGCAATGTTGGCTGCTGAATTGAGTTCTGTCTTAACCTTCGATTTTTCAAGATCTTCTTTGTATTCTTTTTTAAGTAATTTTACTATCTTTTGCTATAACTTGATTTCTTCACATTGAAAACTTCTTTGGTTTTTTCCTCCTCATCCTGGAAGCTCAGCAGGCTGGCCTGTGGTGCCCCTTTGTTCTTCACGACCTCCTGTGCGGTTTCAGCCTGTTGCCGGGGTCGGCATCGCCTAGAAAGCAGCCCCCGGCCTTGGCTCCATGCAGTCGAGGGCCCAGAGGCACCTCTCCCACCCCCGGGGCCCTGCCGCCCAGCTCCTTGCTGGCGCCCAGCTTGCCGGTGCCCGGCAGCAGCTCCCGCTCCTCATCGCGTTCTTCCCAAACTGGAGCTTTTGTCTCCTTCCAATCTAGCATCAGAGACAACAGACCATCCTCTGGCGCAATGTGAGCAACTCCGGGTGCTCTGCCTTTCACCACTCCCCTGGGATTCCACCTCACAGCCCCATCTCCCTCTGTTTGAGCCTGGGTCCCCAGAGTCTGGCCTAGAACTGGGGTTCAGCACTGTCGGTTCTGGGGTTCAGCCCAGTCCGGGGCTTTTATTTCCTTCCTGCTAGGGAATGCCAGCAAGGAACTCAGCCTCCACCTCCTCTCCGGCTCCGTCCTCTCCGTACGCATGAAGCATGTCTCCGTACCTTAGGCTTTTACAGCTCCTCTGATTTTCCTTCTGGTTTTCTCTTTCCTTCTTGTTGTAGAATTTTCAGTCAGTCGACTTCTTGTAGCTCTGGGCAATGTCCATTTTATATTTTAGTTGTATTTTATTGAAATTGTTGTGTGTGGCTGCGGTTAGGTGTTTACCTGTGCAGCCATCTTGGATCCTCTCTCTGATTACTATATTTCTCATCCGGGCGCCTCGGCAAAGCGGCCACCACCATCGGGCTCTACGGGTGGGGGGCGGCCCAGGTGGGTGGCCTTGGTCCGGTCAGTCCCCGGAGGAGCCGCCAGCCTCGCCCCCCGCGTCTCCGCGGCAGAAACCGGGACTCCGGCGCCTCCCCGGTGCCAGCGGGGCCTTCTGCGCCCACCGTTCCTCAAGCCTCGATGCAATGAAACGGTCCGTGAGATGCTGAGTGACCGCCACCTCAATGTGTATTTTTAAAGACTAATTTTGTTACAGGCTGAGGAAATCTTAATCTTTATAAAATAAGTAGTATTTGTATTTCTTTACAAGTAAACTTCAGATCATTTATCATTCTGATGATTAATAGATCTCTGAAAGAATTGGAAAATGGTAACTCAAAATCAGAAATGTAATGGTCTAATCAGTGATGTTTTAAAAGAAATTATAAGAAATTTATAAGAAATCTAAATTAACAATGTATCTACTAAAATGTCACCACTTCTAAGTACATATCTAATATGTAAAAGCTTAGGCAACCAGCTGACACACAGATCACCTGGTAGCTATGATGTGCACTGACCACTAGGGAGCAGAAGCTCTATGCAAGAGCTGCTGAGCAATAGCAACTTTACAGAGTGACCTATCACCCTCTGGGACCCTTCAGGGGATGTCAGACAGCCAGTTTCAGCCCAATCTCTGCAGGCCAAACCAAGGGTCCCCGCCAGTGCTTGAATCCATGCACCAGGCCTCTAGTAATTAAAATAACTCAACTAGTTAAAATTAACAATGGTCCTTTTAGGTTCAACTTTCAAAGATTTTAAATGATTTAAAATTTGTGCAGAAGCTTTAATTTTAAAGTTCTTCTTGGAAATAACTTTTACTATTTGATAAATGAAACATTCTGGTCTTGATCATATATGTAATCAGTTAAGTAGATTTATTTTGCACCTACCCTGTTTCCCTGAAAATAAGACAGTGTCTTATATTAATTTTTGCTCCCAAAGATGCGTTAGGTCTTATTTTCAAAGGATGTCTTATTTTTCCATGAAGAAGCATACGGTACACATGTATTGTTAAATGAAAATAAAGGAAATTTATTACCTGTATATGGTATGGTAGTACAGTAGTTGTCAACACAAACCAGACAAACTGTGAATCCTACAGTATCAAGAATTTACTCATTTATTTAATGACAATCATGTCATCATCTTCTGGAACATCATCATAACAATCAAATTCCCGAATTTCCTGGTGAATTTCTTGTGACATAATGTTTATTACGTATATAATTTGTATACAGAGCAATGTTCTGAACTAAAAATAATACATATTAAAATCTAAATGGATAATTTTATCATAAGGTTTTTTATAAAACTTCTTTAATATTTCTTAAATGAACAATTTGGGTTACTTTTTCTATATGAAATTATGTTATTTTGAATGATAGCACCAATAGCAGTTCTTTAAAAACAGTTTTAATACATTTAGAAGTCCTCAGTGTTGATTTAGTGAAGATTGAAGTAATTATTCTATTATTCACTGTCTACATTCTTGTGAATAATGTAGCTACCATGATGTCTTTAAGTTACTGGAGGTATATAAATAGCAGTAAATATCTACTCAGCTATTGCAGAAGCAGTAGCTACAGTTTGAGGGAAAAGCTAGTAGGAGAAGGCAGTTGTAGGTTAATCTGTAAAGATAACTAAAGGTTAACTTGCCACAAAAGAGAACATTTTGATGCCCGATGGTAGTTCTATTAGGTAAAGTGATCATATGGCATTTATAGTTGTAGGTTACAGGTTGATGAAGGAGACTGATGACTACTGTTATTGTAGGCTAAGTAGAAATTACAGTTGTTGCAGGTTGAATGGACATGGTAGTGGTTGTAGATTCAACTAAAGTAAATATAGTTGTACATTAAAAGAGATGGTGGAAGTGATGATAGTTTTGGTTGTCTGCTAAGTTAAAGTTTTATCAAAATTTTATGTTTCAGCCTTAGCTGGTTTGGCTCAGTAGATAGAATGTTGGCCTGCAGACTGAAGGGTTCCAGGTTTGATTCTGGTCAAGGGCACATGCCTTGGTTGCGGGCTCAAACCCCAGTAGGGGGCATGCAGGAGACAGCTGATCAATAATTCTCTCTCATCATTGATGATTCTGTCTCTCCCTCTCCCTTCTCTGAAATCAATATATATATATATATATATATATATATATATATATATATATATATATATATATAAATTTTATGTTACAATTGCAACTGTTGTAGATTCCATTTAAATGGAGGTACCTGTGGTTTTAGTGGAAGTAGGAGTGGTAGAAAGTTCAGTTAAATGTGTGGAGGTTGTGGGTGCAGTTGAAGTGGGGGTTGTGGCTATTGTGGCTGTAGATTCAGTAGATGTTGAAATGGTTGTAGAGTCTGTTGAAGTGGCTACAGTTGTAGATTCAGTTGACATGGTGGTCACTATAGGTTGAGGACCAGCAGAGGTTTTTCCATGAATAGTAGTTACAGGCTCTCCATTGTCTGGGGACAGCTTGATAATAATGGAAGAGTTGTCATTTCCTCTGTTATTCACCAGGCAGATTATGAGTACTCCAATTGCTGTTGTTATCACACAGGCTAAGAAACAAGCCAAAAATATGTTCCACAGAGTCCAATTACAGCAGCAATTTTCTTTCACCTAAGAGTATCAATGAAAATATTAGTAATAAAAGCAAAAAGTCTTTTGATTTATCATCCCTTTTGTATTGAATACAATTCAGTGCATTAACATTATTTGAATCCTTATAGTCTCTGAAGATATTTAGGCTTAAAGTCCAAGTTTTATCCAGGTGGAATTAATTGCATGCATTCTCTAACTTTGGAAGATAACAAAATCTGCTAATATCTCATCTTCTCTTATTCTATTTTTCATTAATGGGTAGGGGGTTCTTCATCTGTTCATGTAAGCAGAATGGCATTTTAAGAAATTCTCTGCCATATTCCTGATTCTCCACTGGACATTGTCATTACCCCGACTGCTCCACTTCCAACATCACTTCCTCAAGAATCCAGGGTTCTAACCACCATCTCCTCTCCTTCCATCTTGTTTGTTCAATTATTCATATAATAACCTTTCTTTACTTTTATTAAAATATTCAGCCCAGGATGGGTAGGAAGAGATCAACCAAAGGATTTGTATGCATAAAAGCATAACTCATGGACATAGATAATAGAGTGGTGGAAGCCTGGGGTGAGGGGTGAGAGATAAGGGGTGAGGAGCAAGGGGTGAGAATGAGCTATAGGAGGTCAATGGGAGACAAAAGGGAACACATGTAATACCTTCAACAATCAAGATTGTGTGGTATGTTTTTTTAATTTCAGCTCAGCAGCCCTTGCTTCACTTATATCCCTCCTTATCCACCTTTTGTTCTATGTTCCATTGTTTCAATAGCACTTACTAATTCCCAAAACCTCCCACAGCTTCTTCTTTTCATTTCTTTTATCTGGCAAGCACGTGACATTCTACTTTATCTGGACCTGTTCCTGAGCAGTCACACTTTGGGGAAAGTCAAGCACCTGGGCTGAGCAGAGTCAGGATAAATGTATGATCACCATTCTTGAATGGATTTTCTATACTTCCCTGCCATCCTATTATACTCTCAATGGCCAGATTATTATGATCTCTGAACACATAATAATCTGGCCACTCAGTATATATATTTACACAGCTTCTTCTTTTCATTTTTTTAATTTCAACACAGTGTTCAGAGATCATAATAATCTGGCCACTCAGTGTATATATATTAGAGGCTTGATGCATGAATTCGTGCATGGGTGGGGTCCAGTCAGCCTGGCCAAGAGGAGGGGAGATGGGCAGTTGGCCAGCATGCCTGCTGGCCAAATTCCTAGTGGAGGGGACAATTTACATATTATCCTTTTATTATATAGGATATACACTGAGTGACCAGATTATTATGCGTTCAGAGATCATAATAATCCGACCACTCAGTGTAGTTCTCTGATTATATTTCTCAATCTTCTTTCTCCTCAAACTTGTAATCTTCACCCTCCAGCCTTCACACATACATTGAGTGGGTTAACTTGAAATGCAGGCAGACAGGGCAGGGGTCCAGTGGGAAACAAAGACAGGTGGAACACAGGCAGGGGCAGACATGGCAGTTTGAGCAAGCCTAATCACAGAAACCAACCAAGAAGAAATAATAAAATGTTTCTGGACTCAAAGAGGGAGGCACGGAAAACCAAGGGAGGGTCTGCAACAATAAAGGAAACTGACACACATAAACAGAGAGAGTTCAGGTCCATTGCTGGACAAGAACAATTGAGGGAATTAACATAGATAGACATAGAGTAGGCTTGTTGCAAATATATACTCCTGGACTAAAAGGCTTGAGGGGGGGACAGCCCATTATTGCTCTCCACTCCCATGAGGGGTGTCTGAATCTGCTTGTAATAAATTTTCCACACTTTTGCTTAAATCTTCTGGTTCCTAGAGCTTACTTTTTGGTGTCACAAGGCACGACCCTTGGGAAACACTTCGGCTCACCATTCTGGTTATCAATATTGTCCCTTCTCATTCCCATGAAATGACTTCACACCCTTTCCTACTTCATTAGGAAACTTGAAACCACCAAATGAAAACTTTCTTAAAATTGATTCATTTTAGAAAGAAGAAGGGAGAAAGAGAGAGAAACATTGATTTGCTGTTATACTTTTATTTATGAATTCATTGGTTGCTCCTTGTCATGTGCACTGACCGAAGAGCAAACCCATAACCTTCACATGTTGGGACAATGCTCTAACCAACTGAACTTCCCAGCCAGGGCCTCAAACTGAAAGTCTTTCAAAACCCCTTAGGTCCCAAACCTGCAAACCCAAACACGCCTGGACTCCACCTCTCTTTCTTCCCTGACTTACACAAGAGTAGCAAGCCCTCCTCCTGCCTTACACAGATCTGCCAATCTGTCATTCGGTCCCACCTGTTCTGCACTTGCTTTTCTTTTGATTCCCCCTTTCTATTGGACTGACTACTTCACCACTTTCCTCTTTGTTGGATTCTTCTTTTTAACATTTAAACACACTCAAATCTCTCCCCATCTTAAACAAACAAAAAAATGCATCATTTGATTCCAAAATCTATCTAGCTACTTCTCTTTCTCTGGAAAATGAAATTTCCTGACAGTTGTCTAAATGCAATGTCTCCGTTTGCATACTCTTCAATTCAAGTCAGTCTGGCTTCTGCTTCTGACATGCCATGAAATGCCTCCTAATAAAGTCATCAGGGACATCCATTCATTAAAATAAAAGCACATATTTTAGCTCTTCTCTTATTTAAACCCTCAGTAGCTTTTGCTACTGCAGGCCATTTCTCCTTCTCTCTATTGAACAGTCTCTTTCCTTTGCTTCTGTGATATTCCATTTTCATTGATTTCCTTTGAAACCCCTAGAATCTTCTTGGTTTCTTTGGAAGGCTCTTAGGGGCTTTATTGTTGACATTCTCAGGCCCTTGTCTCTTTTCACTCTAAACCTAAGATCAACAAACAAGACTCAGACTCCTTCTACTGCTCATCTACAGCAAGATTAAGCAACAGAGGATAGAAATTCTAGAGTCGGGAAAGTAGAATAAGCAATTTATAGTCAAGGTCAAGTTTCTAAGCTAGGGGTGAAGATTGAGAGATACTGGTACAATCCTGAGGTGGAGTTCATTCAGCCAACCAATAGGATCATATACCAAGGAGAGCTGAGTCCAGTTTCCAAAGCTAGTGGGAAAAAAATCTGCAGAACAGAGCCAGGTTTCTATATCAAGGTCATACGTGCCAGAGGAAGGAGACAAAAAGAAGTGCCACCAACATGTTCAGAAGCTGTAACAATGTAAGAAAAGTGAGCACTCACCAATAGAATAGGACTCTTGACGCTTTAACCATGACCCACTCTCCCATCAAAGACTAATTAGTGAATTAAGCTGCACAATGCCAACATATGTGCTCCTCTTCTCCTCCTCAACCCTGCATTTGTACTTTATATTTATTCCTTTGAATTTCACATATGTTCTCTATACATGGGAATACTTCAGTCCCCAACTAGGACATTGGCCTTTTGAAAACAGAGACTACAATGTATTTTCCTTCTTATGATCTGCCTCACAATGACTTATAATTTTTACAGCTAATATAGTAAAGGCTTACCATGAATGTGGGTGAATTAAATGATTAAATACATTTCCTGGGAAAGAATAAAACAAATACATCCCCATGTAGAGCATGTCCCAACCTGAGTAAAAGCTGAAACACATACAACATTACCTGAGTTTGGGCTGATTCTGTGTGTTGGTATCCTGAATGTCCAACGACTCCTGGGCCCACACAGACACCAGTTGAGTTGGGAGAGATATCACAGGTTATGTCACTTGAATGTGGACGCCAGCATGCAGAGCTATAAACCTCTTGGTCATTTGGACACATAATTGACTGTGGCGATAAAGCATAAGTGAATATGAAGATATGGTGATATATTTATCAAATTAAACTCTATTAAAAATAAACAATAATGTGACTTTTAAAAGGAATAAAGACTTCCAAAATAAATAAACGTTTTCTTATTATTCTATGAAAATAAAAAAATCTAGACAGATTACTAAACATAACATTTTAGCCAATTTTTGTAAGTGACTGATGTTCTACATCAGAAATGTGTATCATCTCCACTTCTCTGTCATATTATAATACAAGCATGTGTTAGATACCCTCATGTTGCAAGTTACTGTAGGTGGAGCATATATAAGGAAGCTTCTTTTTATACAAGGAATAAATGTTAGAATTAAAAAAAAGAACTGCTTGAAGCTTATCAGGTAAAACCTGTTAATGGTCATTTTTGGTAATGAGATTTTGAAGCAAAAAGTGAATTTATTATTGTTATTATTATTATTATTACCACCCCATAATAAACATAATAGCAAACTCTGGGGTCCATGCCTCCCAGGGTTAAGGTCAGAGTACTTTTCATTCCACTATACTATATATAGTATATTGTTTTACTAAAGTACGATAATAGATTAATATAACATGTTCTATACTACACTATACTAATAAAAATTATCATACAAAGAAACTTTGCATGATCCATGCCATGCTCTACACAATAGAACTTGCAAGCCCAGGACAGGGACACAAATGACAAACCATTTGTCCAGTTTGTGATATAACTTTGCTGGCTTCCCCTTGGGGATAAAGGGTAAAAAGGTCTCTACTCTGGGAATTTATATACTCCTATAACAGGGAGAGAAAAGAGATTTGTGCATCATTAACAAATAATTCAATAAATGCAAAATGTTGTTGAGAAAAAGGTGTGATATATATATAGCATTTAGCTTTTTCTAAATGCTATATATCAAGGAAATAAAGAAAACAGCTCTATGCTTTATTAAGATTTAATCAAGCCCATGTTATTCACTACGTAAATTTAAGCAAAGTTGGACTTTCCTTTAATAACAACCTTGCCTAAATGCTGGTTCTGTTGCTTTAGTTATTACCCAATTTGCCAAAAGCTGATGATATTTTAGCACACTTTGTAAACAAAGTAAAACTCACTCACCAGGCCCGTTTTCTAGAATGTACTGGCCCTGTTAAAGTCCCATCCCTTTCAGAAAAGGAAGATGATAAGTGGTGCTCGCTTCGGCAGCACATATACACTAAGGGTGCAGAACCTATAATCTAGGCTTGGCTTCTGAGTAATATTTTTACTGTGTTAGGTTTCTCTGAGTCTTAGTACAGGTAGAGTTTCTATACAAAACTGGAATAGTTGGAGAACTGGGAATAACATTTAATCCAATATTCAGCCTTCGTTAATTACAGCCAGAGGCAACTGAAGTGCATTAACTGTAGTTACCAAAGAATGTTCTATATGTTTTTCCAGTAACTTAATAAGGATTAATTTATGATCTCCTACATCCCAACAGAGAAACAAAACACCAAAGTTTATTTTCTTTTGATTTATAGTCTTCAAATAATCCTTAAAGTTCATTATTAAATTTAGTCTTCAGAGAAAAATATATTTATAGCTATGCTCTAAATGTCCATAGTAAAGTGAAATAGTCAGCTGTCCAGATACATACTATAAAAACAACTTAAGAAAATATCTATAAAGATCTTCAAGTTTGTTGCTATCTAGAGAAACTATTAAGAAAATGATAAATATTTGACTAAAGGGATTTTTTTTTTCCATTTGCATGTTCCAGCATCCTGAAGACCCAATCTTAGTATCTCAAACTCAGAAGAGACAAAGAGAACAATCTTTATTCAATGATTCAAGACAAATCCCTTCTCTTCTGGTGAGCCAGGAATCACTATGGGAATCCTTTTAGTCCCTTAACACTGAGCAACAGCTCTTTCTTCTTTGGCTTATATTGCAGGCCATGAATACAGGCTGAGAGCCACAGCTCCAAACTGCAATGGAAAAACATTTCACTTATGCTTCAAGCAGTGAATTTTAACTTTCCATTTTAATTTTTAGCAAATATCCATCGAAGATTATTGGTTGAGACATAACCAGATACATAAAAAGCACTTAACTAGAGTATAGTGAAGGCTCGATTCCAGGTGGAAGACATTTTAAAACAGACAAAAGATTATACTTTTGTACAAAGTAGAAATGTTTAGAGGATTTCTTTCTTAGGTCTAAAGACAATATCCAGGATTCATAGCATGATTTCCAACACACCTACAAATCTGAGTTCTGACGGATTTATAAATTATACATAAAATACAATCTCAAAACGAAACCAAAGTTGTTGAATGAAGAGGATAAATATAGAAAGTTAAATAGATTTATTCACATATCGTGTGGTCATAGAAATATTTCTAATGCTTTATATCAGTAACTATATAAAATAATTTCTAAAGTATAAATAGTAGGATATAGCATGAAAAGTTGAGGCAAATATATATAATACATGGCTACTCTTTTTTTCAGAGAAGAATGCAAAATTATGACATTGACTGCATAGTAGTAAAGAGATTAGATTGCTCTTAAATGCTGAAAACAATACTGTCACATAAGCAAACTTTTAAAATAGAGCAACAATACTCACCGGTTGATTTTCAGACTGTTCAACATTTACTACGTATTTTCCATGTTTCCTGTCCATTTTTGAGTTTGCAATACTACAAGCTTAACTCCAAGAATGTTTTTCAACACATGCATTGCCCCTTATGCCTTTATAACCCTGAGAAATAATTAAAATGATTGATGAAAAATCAACTCTGATGCATCAGGGCAGGTGTGGATTAAAAAAATAACAAATAATTACCCAATAAAACAGGATCCACCTTAGAGAAGGAAATGAATTAATTACAGAAAGACACAAGAAAACCCATACTTCCTCTGAGAGGTCCTATGACTACCACCCTCAACAGAAAGGAACTCTGAAAATCTTATATAAGTTTTCTTTTCAATCCTTCGGCAAGACTGGGTGGGGCTAGCACCTAGAATTAGGCTTGCCCCCAAGGACAGAGACTGCCGGAAGTCAGGCTCCAAGTAAGAGCATGGACCTGGCGGCTCCCAGGGTGGAGACTATTTCATCATCCTTGCTGATCCCACACCTTCTGTCCAGATATCAGGCAAATGGTTGGCCAGCGCCTCTGAGAGGGTCACAGAGCATGGGTCAACAGTGAATCGCGCAGCCCATATCTCTCTCTCTCTCTCCCTGAGAACAGCACAGCCCTGGGTCTGGAAGCTCAGATTCACTGAAGGGACCACAGTCCACAGGGGTGGGCACAAAAAGAGCCAGGGCTCCAGCCTTCATTAAGAACTTGAAGAAAATAGACTGACTACTAGAATGGGGACTCAGAATGGAAATTTAAGAAAACCTCAGGCCTACAACATGGGGCAAAGAGAGAAATCAGGGCTTATGCGGTCCAGAACCATAACTACGTCATCAGAAATGGGGCCTTATGGGGAATTGGGGTCAATCCTAAATATGGGATTAGAATAAAAGTCAAGTGCTCAGCATGGAACATCGTAGCCCTGCTAGGGGTACAGTGGACAGTGCAGGAGCCAGCAATCCTAGACCAAAGGTGGGACTTTGCTTAGTTCATCAACTTCGTATTGGGTGGAAGGTGAGGTGTGAAAGACACAAGTGCAGGAGGTCTGTCCTCTGGAGCAGGGTGTGCCACTCTCCCAGCACATGAGATATGGTCACCAACTCAGAAGTTATCTAAACCCCATTTTATGGAGGTTTCATCACATAGGTAATATGATTGGTTATTAGCTCAATCTCCAACCCATCTCACCTCCCTGGAGTTTGGGGTGTGGGGATGATAGTTTCAGGCTTCTGATCAAGGTTTGGTCTTTCTGATGATCGGCCTCCATCCTGAAGTTAGGTAGGAACCTGCCAAGAATCTCCTTATTAAAGCAAAAGATATTCTGTCAAAACTGTCACTCAGGGAACTACTAGGGATTTAGCAGCTCCACGTCAGGGACTGGAGACAAAGACCAAATATCTTTCTATGATATCACAGAGATAAAGTATTTTCACATGCAAAAGAGCCACCTCTATCCTTATTCCTAATCATATTCTCCTCCCTCTCCTTTGATGTTTATATTTCCCATGTAATTTTAATGCATTCCAAAAATATACAAAATTGTATGCATGTTTTAAAACTTATATAAAGACTATTATACATAATATAGGTTTTTTTGAGGGCCCATATTACATTTCAACTACACTCACAGCTGTAATTCTATTATATTCATTTCCATTGATTGTCTACACGCAATCAATTAATTTTTGGGAGCAAAAATTATTCTATTCTGTTGATAGAAGTTGAATTTGGTACCATTTTTTACTATAATGTTCTAGTACAGAGGTGGGGAACTTTTCCTCTGCCAAGGGCCATTTGGATATTTATAACATCATAAAACTACCAACTTAAAAATTAGCCTGCTATATTTGTTCAAACTCACCCCTAATGCCTTGGCAGGGCCAGACCAAATGGTTTCATGGGCCTTATACAGCTCGCAGACTGGATGTTCCCCCTCCCTGTACTAGAATATACCTTCTTGGGAACATTTATTAAAAATGTTTTGAGATGTTTACTCTTATTTTCTTTTAGAAATAAATGTGGAGAGATTCAGAACTAATCGGCATGCTGCAGGAATTAAAAAGCTTCTTTTTGTCACACATATTTTGAATTGTGATCACGTTATGCATATACACACATAAAGTATCTTTTTCTCATTTAACATTTTAGCAGATGCATTTGCCCCACTAATTTAAAATCCTTTTTAAAAATCACATTTAATGTCAATGACAGGTGTGAAATTAGGTCAGGTGTGAATTACTTGAGCTACCGCTTAAGTTGTTGTGTGTCTTCAATTATGAGTAATACTGGAAGGTGTTATTATCTATATCTCAAGCTATTTTCTAGGGACCAATGCCCAAAAAGTGGGATTACAAAGCTGAATAATGTTGACAGAAGGACATGAAATACATGAGTGAATATATTCAGAGGGCGATGGTCCAGAGAGAGAGGCTCACAAATGTAATGATACAGGTATACCCACCCTAGGTTCTGGATTCAACATGCTTGCTTGAGAGACTTGGAAGCACTAATAGTTTGCTCATTTGGTTGCATAAAACAAGAACAGTGGGGCAGTGGGGAGTGGTGTTTAATGAAGCTGAAATGACACAACTTCATGGAAGCAGGGAACAGAGTGAGGAATCTCAGAGGAAAGGGGGGGAGGTGGAGGGTGAGGGGAAGTGGGTGGGAAGTAATCAACCAAAGACATTGTATGTATCGATATATATGCATAACCCATGGACACAGACAATAGGGTGCTGAAGGCCTAGGGATGGGAGGATGGGGTGGGCTGGAGGGGATCAAGAGGGTGGGGGGCAGAAGGACAAATGTGATACTTTCAGCAATAAAGAACTTTTAAAAAAATGAATAAATTAAAAATTCAAGGCTTAGGAATGGAGGTGTAGCACTGAATTTGTCATGTGTTTCTTGCCAATCCCATTATAGGATCCAGAGGACAAGCCCTTCATCGCGCAGTGAAAAATAGGATCTGTGAGGGCAGCAGCACAATCCCTGGAAAGCTCTAGGCCTAGGCCACCCACAGTCTAGTCTCCTTCCGTCACCGTTTTTCCCTCCTTTCCCTTCTGTTACCTGCTCCCACCACCCTTCCCCTCTGTCATCACCCTGCCCCCTTCCCCTCGACCCTCTGACAGCTGTCACTCTGTCCTCTGTATCTATGAATCTGTTTCTATTTTGTTTATTAGATTCTACATATCAGTGAAATCATTTTTACAATTATTTTTGTAAATTCTTTATTGTTTATATGAAATCCTCCCCCCCCTCTTCCCGCCATTGATCTCTTCCCCACTCAATACCTCCCTCCCTCAGCACATGCGCTCACACACACACCCACCCCTTTACTGGCTGTGTCCATAGGTTATGCCTATATCAACCAAAGGACATGTGCATACAAGTCCTTTGGTTGATCTCTCTCTCACACACACACATGGGAGGTCCCCCTCATTAGTCTTGCTTCAGGCTTATTTATTATCCTTTCAAAAAACCTGCACTTATTCCCATGGACATTTTCTATTCTCTATTTTGCTTATTTCCACTCTATTAATCCATTCCTTTTCCTTACTTTGGGTTTTGTTTGCTCCTGTTTTTTTCTAGTTCCTTTATGAGTAAACTTAGATCGTTTATTTGGGATTTTTGCTGTTTCTTGTGGTAAGCCTGTACAGCTATGAACTTTCCTCTAATAACTGCTTTTGCTGCATTCCATATATTTGTAAAGTTGTGTTTTCATTTGTCTCAAAGTAGTTTTGTTTTGTTTTGTTTTTTTCTATTTGATATCCTCTTTGATCCATTGGTTGTCTAGAAGCATGTGTTTAATCTCCACATATTTGTATTATTTCCAGTTTTCTTCCTATAGTTGATTTCTATAATAGTTTCATGCCATAGTGGTCAAATATGCTTGAAACAATTTCAATCTTCTTGAATGTACTGAGGCTTATTTTGTGGCCTAATATGTTTCTACCCTGTTTCCTGAAAATAAGACCTACTTACAGGTTTCCTTCTGAGTGAAAAATAAGGCATCCTCCTGAAAATAAGGCCCACCTAGGCTAAACATGAGAGATTTGGTCCACTGATTCTGAAAGAAATGGAGTCACAAGAAATTCACCAGGAAATTCAGAAATTGGATTGTTATGATGATGTTCCAGAAGATGATGACAGATTGTCATTGAATAAATGAGTAAATTCTTGTTACTGTAGGATTCACAGTTTGTCTGGTTTGTGTTGACAACTACCTTACTACTGTACCGTATACAGGTAATAAATTTCCTTTATTTTCATTTAACAATAAATGTGTACTGTATTCTTCTTCATGGAAAAATAAGACATCCCCTGAAAATAAGACCTAGCGCATCTTTGGGAGCAAAAATTAATATAAGACACTGTCTTATTTTCGGGGAAACAGGGTATCCTGGAAAATGTTTCATGTGCACTTGAAAAATTATGTAATCTTCAGGTTTTGGATGAAATGCTCTATAAATGTCTATTAAGTCAAAATGGCCTAATGTGGCATTTAAAGACATTATTTCCTTATCAGTTTTCTGTGTGGATGATCTATTGAGTTAATAGTATTAAAATCTATGTTGAGTGCATAGATATTTACAACTGTCATATCCTCTTCTTGGATTAATCCCTTTATAACTATGTAATGTTCTTCTTTGTCTCTTTCTACATTCTTTATTTTAAAGTCTATTTTGCCTATGAGTATTGGCTACCCCAACTTTTTTTGTTTCTGTTTTTTCTATTGCTCCCCTTTCAAGGGTATATGTGTCTTTTGCTCTTACATGAGTTTCTTGTAGGCAGCCTATAGATGAATCTTGCTTTTTATCCATTTTGTCACCCTATGTCTTTTGATTCCAGCATTTAGTCAACTTGCATTTAAGTTATTATTGATAGGTGTTTAATGCTATTTTCTTCTTTTTTTGTTTTTTGTTTTTTGGTTGCTTCATTCTTTTTTATTCCTTCCTTCTCTTGATCTCTTAAATTTTTATTTTATTTAATATTTTGATAGGGTCCCTTTCTCTTTATTTTTTTTAATGTATTTTTGTATGTTTTG